TAGGGTTAGGTTTAGGGTTAGGTTTAGGGTTTACAGCGTGCTTCTGTCTCCACGCTGTTGTCGCCCTTTTGATGACGTCAGGGACGCGGTTTAGTCGGGCGCGGTTCAGTCGAGCGTGGTTTTGTTGGTGAACCAGTGCATCACGCACGTCCATGTGGGTGATGACGGGGCCGTTCCAATCATACCGATTGGAATGGAATCCGGAACCCACCACTGGTTCAATTGATTCGTGTTTAAGGAAAGAACTGTTTTGTGCCCTATTATCTGTGTTTGCTTAAACTTTCGCATCAGGCAAACAGCCTAATAAAAAGTAGAGAAATGAGAACGAACCTCCCTCTTACAAAGCCACGCTAGCCGCAATGCAGTTTGTGGCAGGTGCTGTCCTTTTCTGCCTCCAAGCAAACATTTTCATCAGCTGCCCCCTAAACCGGTCATGTAGCCAGGCATAAAGGAAGGCATTTGTGCAAGCAGACATCATGGCAAACCAATGGCAAATCAGCTGGATAAGGTTGAAGTATTGCTTGTCTATCAGTCTGATCTCGACGTCTTTGATGACATTGAAGAGATGCAGCGGCAGCCAGCAAACTCCAAAGGCCGTGACCACCAAGACGAGCAGACGAAAAGTCTTCCTCCGCTTAACTTGGTCGCACTCAGCTTGGCTCTGGGTAACATTGCCAGGAACAACTCGGTTTTTCAGCTTGACTGAGATCCTCAGGTAGGAGACGGAGATGACCGTTAAGGGCAGAACATAGGTGAGGATGAGGGTGCTGTAGGCATAAGCTAAGCGATCCCTCTTCCTGTGGAACCAAAATTCTTCACAGATGGAGAAGTCCAGCTCTGGAAATTCTTCATGGTAAGTACGGACCAAGGCTGGGGCAGCTAGTATGCAACTCAACATCCAAATGGCAGCCAGGATATACACACAGATGGATATGGTCAGTCTCCTCCGCAGGGGATAAACCATGGCGAAGTACCTGTCTACAGCAATGACAGTCAATGTGAAAACGGACACAAATACGGTGACCGGCTGCATCAGGAACACAAAGTAACACATGAAGCGTCCGTAGATCCACCCTCTGGGTTCAAAGGCATACGCCAATGTCAGCGGCACACACGTGGCGCACATGAGCATGTCTGAGAATGCCAAGTTGCCCACGAGGAAATTGGTGACATTGTGCATTTTTTTAGTCTTGCAGATAACATAAATAAGGAGATAATTCCCAATGACGCCAACAAAGACCACCAGAGAGTAGCAAGGAATAATGAGAGGCTTGAAGAACTGGACAAGCTGGAGCCCCAGGAAGAGGCTGCTGGTGTTGTTCTGAATTGCAGAGAGAAAGCTCTGAGAGGTCAGATTTGCTGGTTCCATTGCCTTTCCCACTCTTACAATTTCCTTGCCAATAAAATTAATCTGGGCATACAAGCATGCCTGTATTGCCATTATATTTTTAAAAAATCATCTTGGGATGATGGACAGATTTTACCTTAAGTTTGGCCAACTGACATTTGCACGTATTCATCTGCAAAAAAAAAAAAAAAAAAAAAGACACAGCAGAGGTGAACTTTAGTAGATGCTTCATAGGAATAATAAGATACAATCAATCTGCTGGGACCTTTTCTTTCTTTCCACCATAAATCTAACTCTATCCCTTTAAAAGCATGCAGCTGAGAAAATCATTATTGCACTAAGAACTGTACTTACAGCTGTTCTCTCCAGAAGTCCGATGTCATTCTGCATCTTCTTCTTCTTAATCCCATTTGATTTCCAAATCCATAACCAGTTAGAGCTCCTTGTTAACAGCAAGAGGGAGGGAGGGAGGGAGAAAGCAAGCAAGATGTGTTTGGTGAATTAAAATACACAGATTGAAGGTGTTTAGCAGGCTTCCCTATATACTCAAAATGAATTTGGGGAGAGGGACCTCTCTCCATTTGTTGTGTGCCTTCAGGAAAGTCTGTGGGTCTCTCTTTTCTCTCTTGGTTGGCAAGCCATCCCTGAGACACTTTTATCAACGATAACATCTGAGCTCAACCCAGTGCTGAGTGTCCTGCTTACAGCCCTGAAACAGACGGAGCTTTGGCACAGCTGACTTTTTAAAACAGGAATGTTGCTACAAGGATGAAGTAGTAAAAAAATATTATCACCACTAGAGGGACTCAGCTACATGGAGATCGAAAAATCTTTCCTGCACTTGTGGGTTATACTGAATCATATTTAACTATGGGTGTGTCGTGGGCGTTTGTTCATTCTTCCAGAGGCTTAGTAGTTGCATTAAGTGTGGAAAGTGAAGTCCCTCATCTGCTTAACTTCTATATCTCAGTGGTGGATTAAGGCTCATTGGTACCTACGCACTAACAAATCTTGGTGCCCCCCTTCTTTGTACATATATACTGTACAAATCTTCATTGGTTTTTTCTTTCTTTCGCAACTTTGTGGTGCCCCCATAAGCCTGGTGCCCTAACCCAGAGGTGGGTTCCTACCAGTTCGCACCTATTCGGTAGAACCGGTTCGTCAAATCTACCGGACCGCTTAGAAGAGGTTCCACCAGTGGACCCGGAAAGCAGGCCACACCTACAGAAGTTCCAAAAAATTTTGAAACCCACCACTGCCCTAAGCACATGCTTAGTCTGCTTAATGGTTAATATACCACTGTTATTATCTGTATTTATATGCCAAGGAATGAGCAATATTATGAGTTATGTTATGAATATCATAGACTGATATAGTCAGACTGAAAATTTCATTTCGAATGATCACTAAAGCACAGAGATTTAGTTACATGATGCCAGATAGTTTGGTATTTTATTTATTCTCTGCTCTCTTCTTTCGCTGTTTCTAGCATTCTTTGCTGGAAAATGATTCCATTACAATAAATATTCAAAGTGGGTTTTGTTATTCTAATGGCTTGTTCTGCATTTTCTCTTTCCAGAGTCCAGTGAGAGTGCTTAAATGATCTTCTCAGACAATAGCCACACCAAAATCTATTTAGTTATCTTCAAATGTTGACCCTCAGAGGGAATAATTGAATAGCCCTCAAGTATAATCATATTCAGAGCTTTGCTGATTATCCCAAGATAACTTGTTTTGAATTTAAATTCCTTGTTTTGCATCAATAAATACCATCCGTTTGTTTTATTATTGTTCAGAGATTAACTCATCCTTTGTATTGTTATGAATATAAGATCAGGGTTTATATAAACAAGATAAATAACTAACAAAAAACACCTGAGATTGGAAAGCTTGGCTTATTTTTTCAGACTAATCAGTGAAATGTGGATGGCTCTGGTTTTAATAACTCCTGACAGGGGCATTAAAAATTATTATTTTTTGTTATAACCATGAAATTAAAGTTCTGCTCATTTTTTTAGAGAAACACGCAAAGATACTGGTATGTGCATGTTTTTCCCAGACCTAGCAAGGCACAATGTTTGAAAGAATTAAAATTTTGATTCATTATAAGTCAAAAGTTGTTATGAAACAGAACAAAATGACTAGTTTTTTTTTCCAATTCCAATTCATCTTAAAATAGCGTTTTCACCAGAACTGAGTTGGTGGATTTATCAGCTGCAGGGTAAATATGAATAATAAATTCTCACCTAATGCTTGAGTAATTGAATGAATAGTAAAACTAATTCTGAAAACTTGAGCTGGAGTTCTCTTTTCAGGGAGGAGGCCATCAATCCAGAATTTAAAACTGATTTGTAAAGGTGTATACATAATTCGTTATATCTTTTCAAGGTGATTAACCATGTAAATGTTAAAAGGTTCTTTGGAGCAGGAGCCTCTAACCTTGGCAACTTTAAGCCTGACGGACTTCAACTCCCAGAATTCCCCAATCAGCTTTGGAATGGAGGCTTCCTATGTTTCTGTTCAATATTAAGTCAGCACCTTCTTTCAGGAAGGATAATTGTGTAAGTTTGTTCACACAAAAGAAAGTGACACCTCAAAGACTAATATATTTATTGTGACTTAAATTTTATTTTATGGAGTCCTTCTACTTCATCTATCCATGAAGCATTCTCCTTATTTGGGGAAATGTATTTGCACATAGATATAGATAGGAGAATGAAATTGTAAAGTCAAAGAAATAGAATGCCAAACTTGTGGATTGTGACAAATATATTAAAGTATAAAGTATGTAAAATAAATAGTGACAATTCACAGAGCTGACACGTATTATCTTTCTTAACAGTTTGAAGATGTTTTAATGTTGCATTCCCAAACCACTCACATAACATTTTACATTAGTTGAATGTATTTTAATATTCAGTTAACCATGTTGTATAGCTTCCAAAACTCGCATTTCTTGAGGTATGGATCTGATGAAGTGGGAGATGATTTCAGCGTTTCCAAGCAACTATAAATATTGAAAAGATTTAGCAGGAAAGATTTCAATGACTTATAGAAAAGAAAGGAGCTATAATAAGTGCCATGAAATACAATTTTAACAGATGTACAGTGTTGCTTATATAATGTACTGAACATAATATCTGCAATGTTTTCAGTAAAACATTCACCATCCTTACCATGCAGCAAAATATTTTTATACATCAAGGAAAGAACAAATCTTACTGCCAGAGACTTTCACTGATACCAAAACGAATTTGTAAAAAATGCATTTTAATCTTATTTGCTCCCCACTGCCAGGTTTGCATATGAATATGTTCTTGGTTGTGTTGAGAAGGACAAGACAGATCTGGGGGTGGAGAGTGAAACATGTCATCAGTTTAGAGTCCATAAGAGATCCGAGTCTAATCTTCCTTGAATCCCCCTGACCTTTATTTAAAACAAATGGAGTGCTGACCATTATCCCAAAAATGCTTTCAAAAGGCAACTGGATTTTCTTAGGGGGTTTTTTTTCTTGAAAATGTTTTGTTTTTCAACCAAGAAGCTTCTTTGGGAGGAAAAAAAGAAAAACTAAAAAAGTCCAATTGCCTTCTGAAAAACACCTTTGGGCAGCCATGACCTGGACAACTGAGAATCTCTATAGAGGTTGGCTGACCATTAGTTAACCAGGTTCTTGTGCAGAGGGTTCAATAAATCATTTGTGCCGCAACCTTTGTGAATAGTCCTGATTCTTTGTGCCTGTGTGTTTGTGTGTTTGCTTTACAGTGCCTGACATTTGTTTTGCTTTGCTTTGCTTTTAGTATCTACACAAAAATACTGTTGTTTTCAACACAGAACCATTAAACTCTTGACAGCCATGAGACCAGGGGCATTTATTGATCAGATAACAACACTTACAGTTGCACTTTGCCCAGAGGGAACTACTCTCCTGGGCCAGACAAGTAATTTTTTAAGTTCTTCCCTAAAGCTATCGTGAAGCCAGGCATATATAAAGGGGTTATAACAAGCAGAACTCATAGCAAACCAATGGCAAACTAGTTGGATAAGGCTGAAATAATACGCATCAATTGCGTTGATGTTAATGTCTCGGATGAAGTTGAAGGCGTGAAGGGGAAGCCAGCAAACTCCGAAGACCACAACTACCATGACCAGCAAGCAGAAGGTCCTCTTCCTCCTGGCTCTGTCCCAGTCTGCCTGGTTTTTAGTGACACTCCCTGGCATCACCCTGTTTTTCAGTTTGATGGAGATCTTGATGTAGGAAATTAGGATGGCCAGCAAAGGGAAAAAATAAGTGATGAGGAGCAGGCACAAAGCATAGGTTTGTCTTTGGTGCTCTTGCTCCCCCCAGAACTCCTCACACAGGATGACGCCTTGCTTATCCAGCTCCACATAATAGGTATGTGCCATAGCTGGCAAGGCTAAGCAACAGGACAAAATCCAGATAAAGAGGATCATATAAGCACTAAGCTGAAGGGAGACGCGGCGTCGCAGAGGGTGTATAATGACAATGTACCGGTCAATTGCAATGGTGACCAAGGTGAAGATGGAGACATAAACAGTCACCGGCTGCATGAAGTAGACAAAATAGCACATTGTGCTGCCAAAAATCCAGCCCCTTGGCTCAAACACATAGGCAAGAGTAAGTGGGACGCATGTTGTGCACATGGCCACATCAGAAAGGGCTAGGTTCCCAATGAGGAAGTTGGTGACGTTGTGCATCTTCTTGACATGCAAAATGACATGGACCAGGAGGCAGTTGCCTACCATCCCAATAATGACCACACCTGTGTACAACAGGATGATCAGCAATTTTAGTCGCTGCAACAGCTGCAAACCCTGGAAAAATATATTAGTCCCATTTGTAGCAGAGTTGAGGGCTGCTGCACTGGTGTTTGTAGGAAGGGTGCTAGAACCTTCAAATGATCCATACATTTTGGCCTGTAAGATAACAAAACATAGTTGTAAGTATGTTCTTTAGGCATCCAACTGAAGTTACATCCAAACATAACTAGTGAAAGAGGCACTAGGCTAGAAAGTGGGAAACTTTGAATTGTAGTCCCACTTAGCCATGGAAAAACAGTTGGTGTCTTTGGCCCAGTCACTCTATCTCAGCTCAACCTACCCCACAAGGTTGTTGTTGAGGGCACAATAGGAGAAGAAAGGTGTGTTTGATATGTTTGCAGTCTTGGGTGATTTGTAAAAATAAAATAATCCTAAATAAATAGAGCCGAGGTGGCGCAGTGGTTAAATGCAGCACTGCAGGCTACTTCAGCTGACTGCA